TATATAGTAACTTTTCCATGACACAAATTAACCTGTTTAGTGTCACTATGGTCCTAGAGAGGCTTGAATTAAACCTGCAATTTGATCATATTTTTGTGAACCAGTACTAAGATTTAATATATGTTAAAGAAATCAAGTAAAAATGTGAAAATTAAGGATTGTTTCATACTTCTGAAATCCCTTGCTATCGGATCTGAGCCTGAAAGTATCTAAAGTGCCCAAATACCTGTAAAGCATCAGGTTCTTTACACATAATGTAGGGAATACTTTATAGAATATATAGTGTGGTAAACAAAAAAGATGATAATTGGATCCTTTGATACAAGTCCCACCTTTGGTTTGAAGAGACCTTCACCCATCCAGGAAAGCACTGGTTTTCCTCACAGATCTATGACAAACTCTCAAGTAATCATCCTGCTATGACTATCTTTGTTATATATTATCAAGCCAAATGGGTTTAATGTGATGCTTTGAATGGTCAAAATTCTGATTTAAGCCCAAGACCATCTTTCAGAGAGTACAAAATCCATCTCAAGGAGTTTTCAAGGTCTAAAATCGAACAAGATTTCCATTAGGCTCTTTGGTATACTTACTTTGGCTTTCAGAAGGTAAAGCAAATAGTCTAATGAATGGAAATAAAGATTCTACATCCAGAAGGTTGAAATGTTAATTGACAACTAATTTAATATACTCTCTAATGTGAACTTGATAACAAAGTTGGCCTCTAGGAAACACTTTACAGATGGCAAGGACTGATGTTGTAATCAATAATTATGTGAATTACTAATGCAGGCAATGAACAGTTTCCTAGCTGTCCAGATGGAGAGGCATTTTGCAGCAATGTATCAGGAAATGAAACAGTTGATCCTGAAAATTCCAGCTGGAACAAAGCTCTAGTTACTCTGATGTAGCTGAATAGTTGGAGGGTCATGCTACTCACTTCCATCTCTTCAAAGACATATGCACCAGTTTAACTTTCTGAACTGTTATCAGTCTCATTTAAACACAGTGACTCATGTAATGTGCCCCAAATCAAATCTCCATGTAAGCCTTACATCTTAGCTGAATTCAGAGAGCTGGACTTCATCAAATGAATGTGGAAAACAACATTATTAAGATGACTGGCCAGAAATAGCCAAAATCTGATAGTAGGCACTTTGGATGCAACAATTATAAGGAAATGTGTATTTTCATTTCCCCGTGTAACTTTTTCTGTGTACTATGGTAGCTTGTAACTGTATCTGGCAGAAATAGATGTATGTAAAAAACTGCTGCCCATATCCTCTAAGATATTTTGGATCAAGGGAGGATGATTGGCAGTGATAACCAGGAATGTACAGGGCCTCAAGAAGGGTACTTCACCTCCATATAGTGTTAACGGCTCTTAAAACAAGAGTGATATATAGTGACAGGAAATAAAATGCACGACTGCCCAATATAGCACAAAGTGTGGTTAACCAGTGCAGGAGCATAGAGACATGTTGTCTCAAAGAGCTGTGGACTGTAGTTTGGATCCATTTTCTGTCTCGGCAACAAAGCTGGACAGACACGGGATTTAGTCTACAATGAGAACTCAGAAGAAGTGAAAGTTCAGGTGAGGTGCCAATTTTCTGGAGTCCCTTGGGAGAGAAGAAGGAGTTATTTTTTCTATAGGAATACAGCCTGCAGAGCCATGATAACTGGGGAAATTGGCTTGATGGCATCTACTCTGTATTGCAGGTCATAATGAAGGAAGGGAAGAATGACAAAGAGCTTTCATGAAAGAATTAGGGCAGAAGTATTGTGTTTTGGAAACTGTGATAATGAAACTCCAGCCTTCATTCATTAAAGTAGAGTCTCTTGGACATTTTGAATTTCTTCTTTCCCAGCTTTCAGCAATCTAGGCTGAACTGCAATTTATGAGATAAACCAGGGGTCTTCAAACTTGGCCTTTTTATGACTTGTGGACTTCAACTCAAGTCCATAAGTCATAAAAGGGCCAAGTTTGAAGACCCCTGAGATAAAGTATTAGCAAATACCTCTCCCATCTGTTAGCAGTTTAAGTTTAATGACCCTCCTGTTATTTCCACAAATTCTCCTTCCAATCTCTCTTACACATCTAGAGGATTGCAACCAAAGAGTCAATTCTGATTTAAAAAGTTATCTGCAGCTTCTACACTGTAATACCAAAGCGGTGAGGAAGAGCAGCCACTCCAGGGCAAACACCTTTATGGTACAGTTCCCAACTGATGTGAACATTTAGAAGCCCAATGCCCTCCTGTGGGTTTGGCTACACAATATTGAGAAGAGAGTTTCATTCAAAGTATATGTCCAGCATTTTACAGAAGACTATTGGGACATCAAAACAACACATGGATAGAGGTGAAATTCCACATTTAAATTTCCACATTCCATATTTAAAATGCAACCTTTCCACCCCACCACGTAAGCAATGTAGTACCTAAGTTAAGGGGTACCTTTGCTGTAGAGAAAGGGAGGAATTACTTCTCCAGGTGGCAAGATAGAAGAACTTCCATGGAAACTAGATTTTTGGGGTGCCAGAAGAATAAGTATCCAAAATATCTGCTTCTCTGTTATCTCTGTCACTTATGGATAACAGGACAAGATAACAGGAGAAAAGCATGAAGGAATGGCTTCCCACAGGTTAAAGAAGCTGATAACACAAGATTTGTTTCTCATCCCTTCTTCCGTCCTTGAGGGAAATGGGGATGTTTGGTGCCAGGAGAGCTGGCAGCCCTGTAACCTGCATCCTTTTCTTCTCTAGCCAATATTATTGGCAAGAAAAGTGGAAGAGATGAGTTTTTGACACAGAGAGAGAACCCTGCTTTTCCAGCTGTCAAAATAAAAATGGCTCTGGAAATCAATTATCAGGGATCAGGCCCATAGGTCAATTAAGTACACAATGTATATAGAGGGATTATATAGTGGTATATACAGTATGGTAATGAATATAAAACCCTGCATTGTGCTTGGAGAAAACTGCTTGGAAGTTTCACACTCTTAAAAAAAATATGTTCAGAAATGTAGACATTAGGCAAAATGTGGAACCAAACAAAACTTGCAGTTGGGAAAAAAAATGAAAACCTGAACAAAATCAAACAGGGAGATTAACATACTCTGGTTTACCAACTGACGAATTGTAACACTGATTGATCTCAATAGTAGGAGCAAAGTCATATAACAGTTAAAGAACTATCCAAGAACTACCTATGTTTTGAGTAAATGAATAACTACAACTTGGGTTACTTGGGTGGGAAAATTAGCAAATATTTTTGCTGACAGACCACTGTGCCAAAACACCACAATTATACTCTGTTTCAAATATTTGCCATGGTTTAAAAATAGAACAAGCTGTGTACATGGAGAATGGAAATACTGGTAGCTTGAATCTTTGATAAGCTGAAATCTTTGTAGTGCAATACTTCAGAAAGAGTCAAATACATTTTTTTTCCTAACAAATTCTCTGAGGTATTCTCTGGTTTTGCTTTTGTTCAGGCCATTTAATAATCTATGTTTGGCATTTGGAAATCCCTCACGAGGTGACGTTTTTGCATAAAGATACTGACATATATCTTGTACCAGCAGTTATTGCTAATAGAACACTTCCTTTATTTAATGATCTGATTTTCATACTCTTTGTCTTCTTTAGAAATAAAAGTGACGGGAATACATTATTTGGGTGCTTTTAGGCAAGAATTTTATTGTGCTATTACCTATCATGTTCACAGATTTGTAAGCGAGATCTGGGTCTACATATCACTGAGTTGCTAATCCTACAATCTTTTCCTGCTGTTTCTTCTGTTTGTTTTTCCCATCACAAAAGATCCATTAAGGACGCATTAATTTGATTCTAAGTGCCAGGAGCTGTTTCCACTGAGAGCACCCTCTAAGGCTTCAGAGAAAAGTTAAAAACTGAAATGAAAATGTCTTAGATTAGATTACTTGGACCCTTATGAGGAAAAAAAAATCACACATTCTAAGCAAGGCTAAGAGCAAATGTCTTTTGGTTTAGCTGAGGCAGATATTTGCAACCATCTTTCTAAGGATAAAAATGGTTGTTTATCAATAGCCAATCAAAGCTTTTAATTAACATTTTAATAAGGAAGCAATTTTAACAAACATTCTCATGATACCACAAATACATCAGTTTACTAGAGCAAATAATCCTCTCACCCATCTACCAACCAGTAAATAAGTTGCAAAAAGAAAATCACAAAACTATTAGGATATGAGCATATGATCCATAGCAGATAAGAGGTCTTCACACAATCCCTTTTTCCTTGTGTTCAATGAAAGAATGAGAGAAACAGGATGAATCCTGAATAGCTAAAAAGTTCAGCACTTCATTCAGCCTGATGCTCAGAACCTAGAAGACTGATCCAATAGCTCAACAAAGACCTGTTTTTATCTAAGACCCTAAACAGTGAATTGTAACTATTGAGTACAATGATAAATCCTTCTCATCATTCAATTTTTTTTTCAGACATACTGGCTTATAGTTCCTAAAATCTGTCTCTTTTAGTCAAAGGTGGCATGAACTGGAGATTGCAGTTGATTTCTTCATTCTTTCCCCCACCCCCAGTTATAAAGTTAATTTCTATTTTGTTTAAAGGAGAGAGAGAAAAAGGTTATCTTTATTGGGAGATAAAACATCATACATTCCTCCAAACCATGCTCTCAAGCTATCCCATATCCAGTCCTCCATAGAGAGTCAATCTTTGAGATTAGAAATGAAATATCAGCAATTCATGTACTCTGTGGGGTAAAAAAAGACAGATCATGGACTGTGGATCATGGACCATTAGCTGGAAATATTTCTCACAAGTTTTGTATTGACCTGATACTTCATTATTTCAATTAATACAATGCAAACAACTTTAAGTTTCATTAGCAACTTCAGTAAAGTCAGTGCATTTTTAACATTTAACTTGATGCAATTTTTTTTAAACAAAGCAGTAAAAGTTAGATCTTTATCTTACCTTCTAAAAAGCAGGCAAGAGCTATACTGTAGGTGGAATAGTGTACCAAGTAACAGATTTTTGAACACTTTTTCTTACAGGTGGTATGCAGTCTATAGGAAAAGTAAATATATTTGTATATATAATCCATGGGTTTAAATATATCAAATCATTTATTTTTATGAGCTAATGTCACTCATAATATAAAGCTTGTAATCTGTCAAGGTTCAGTTTATCGTTTATACCATCAAGAAACCAAGCAGTTCACAAAAAGGTTTGGGTATTTCCAAACACAAAAGAAAGTCTTCTTATATCAGAAGAAGCATGACTTGGGACAGTTTATTAAAGATTGTGTCCATAATTCAGTCCCTTTCACAATGCTATCAGTCTTCATTGCTCTTAAAAATTTGAGGTATGGGTTGATTTTCTTATCTCTCCTGTCCCTCAAAAGATGAAGTAGGCAACAACATGCCAAAGATGTCAGAAACTAATACAGATGAAGAAGCAAAAGAGATAGCACAGCATAGCAGCATTTGTACAGCAGATTGCAGGATGCATTCATCATTCATACCTCCGTAAACAGGTATATAGAACCAATGGAAACTTTTAAGCCCTGCCTTCTTTTATTTGATTGTATTCCTATGCCCTTCTATTCTGAAAGAGACAGAGAATCACAGAAGAGTTCAACCTTATATATATACTCTAGCTGAATTGTGTTTTGGCAACTCACTTTGGAGTAGCATGGAAAGGAGAGAGAATAACTCCTAGCCTCTCTTAATATATATTAAACAGACATCCTTTTCATTTTTCTACTGAAATATAACTTGTACTGATCAGAAGGTGACTCCTCCAGCTGATGATAAGAGTCCAGCAAGTGTTATATTTCACACTGCATTTTCTCCCAAATATTATTTATGAAGAATATCAATCATACATCACACTGCATATATATGTGATAAAGAGGGAGACACACACAGAGAGAGAGAGAGAGAGGAGAGAGAAGAAAGAAAGAAAGAAAGAAAGAAAGAAAGAAAGAAAGAAAAAAGAAAGAAAGAAAGAAAGAAAGAAAAAGACAGAAAGACAGAAAGAAAGAAAGAAAGAAAGAAAGAAAGGAAAAAGAAAGGAAAAAGATAAATAAATAAATAAAAAGAAAGGAAAGAAAGAAAGAAAGAAAAAAGAAAGAAAGAAAGAAAAGAAAGAAAGGAAAAAGAAAGGAAAAAGATAAATAAATAAATAAATAAAAAGAAAGGAAAGAAAGAAAGAAAGAAAGAAAGAAAGAAAGAAAGAAAGAAAGAAAGAAAGAAAGAAAGAAAGAAAGAAAAAGCTAGCTAGCTTTGGGGAAATATTAATAGCTCATGAACCTTAGTTGAGGAGCAGGTATCAAATCCTGTGTGAAAAAAGAAACTCATCTTCTTCAAATACACTACAGCCCACCTATATAATTTATATAAACCAACATTCACTGCTTTTATTATTGGCACTCTTCATCTGACTGTAACCTCAACAATTTAAGTTATCCTTAGCAGGAGAGAATAGACTGAGCTTAAACCAGTGGTGGGAGTCAAATATGTGAACAACCAGTTCTCTGGGTGGATGCCACTTCCGGAAGTCCATTCTGGGTCCGGGCCACAAAAAATTAGCTACCGGTTCTGCCGAATTGATGTGAACTGGCTGAATCCCACCACTGGCTTAAACTTATTGCTTTTCCTCACTGTGAGAGAAAGAGAAGGAAAGAGTGCAAGGGGAGTCTGGTTGCCTGTCTTCCTCTCTTCTCCGAGCCACTATGCTTCTTTCAGGCACACCTTCTTTCTGACTAGTAGAGAAGATTCACTGAGGCAGCTTACTACTAGCCTTCTTCCTTCACCCCATGTAGCCTATTGAGGTTAAAGAGTTTCTGAAAGCTGCTTGTATTTCTGTATCTCTGTCCCTTCTTCATTCTAATCTCTCACATCAGTAGCATGTCAGAAGTTCCTTTATTAACACTTCACTTTATTCCATTCAAAATACAATGACTAGCATGAGTAGCTTTTTAAAAGGCTTAGTTGAATATATCTGAGGTATGACTATCATACTTCGTATTTTCCATTTTCCATTATTGAAAAATGTTGTTACCAATGTGAGGTAGATATCCTGCATGTCTTGGTTGACCATTGAATGAATACAGAAGGTTGAGACATTTATTTACTCATGATAGCCTTAGAATCAGTCAAACTAGCTAGGTAGCTAGCTTTCATTTTATTTCTAAATAGGGTTATTAAGAGCATGATTTCTATAGTTTGTAAGCCAGATCAGTTTGTCAGTCTGTCTCCTATAGTATACATATGGCTGGATACAGGGAGTGACTAATAATACCTGTTTGAGAGAGAGGTGGAGTAAAGTATCTTCTCTAGAAGAGGCTATATTCAGTTGCCTTGGACAATTTCAGTTCTCCAATGTCTCCTTTTGGAGACATTGGAAGAAGGTATTAGAGAAGGTGGAGAGGTTTCAACTACCCACAATCCTGGACTAATCTTGGATCCCTTTAAATCAGGATTCAGGCATAGGCATGGGACAAAACAGTTCTGATTACTCTAGTGTATATCTTATGTGAGGACCTGGATATGGAATATGCTTTCCTGATTATACTAGAAGCTTTTGTGGCCTTCAAAATTATCAATCCTGATATTACTCTGAATTGCCTCTGAGGGTTGGAAGCACCATATTACAATCTTCCTAAGTAGGCACAATATGGAAGGGAAGAGCAGTCAGGTTTGTAGTATGTGGTGTGCTACATAAAACCTGAGAGACATCATCCTTCAGTTTGGATTGAATAAGTTGATGATATTCAGCTGTACAGCTCCAATCCAGGCTGGAACAGAAAATCCTTACCCTGTGCCTAAAAGCTGTGAGGAACTGGATGGGACAAAATTAAAGCATGGGTATGAAGCTGAGTAAGAACTTGGTTTCAAAATGGCATTGGAGATAGAGGTGGTGAATAAGAGGTAGTTCATTCTGCCATTCATCTAAATCTAATACTTGAGGCTAAAGATAATTGTGTTTTGTTGTAGAATCAATTTATGCTTGACAAGGATGACTATCATGGACATGCCTCCGGCCTCCTCTCCAGATGTGAGTTCGGAGGAAGAGGAGGGGGATGAGCCAGATCCTGGCATTTTTGGGGAAGTAAGTATGGATGTGGAGACATGGACCCAGGGAATGGAGGGCTCCAGCTCAATGGAGCAGCCACAGCTTGAACAACCTGATGGGCAATAGGCTGTAGTAGGTTACCTAGAGCAGAGTTCTCCAACCTTTACAGGCTCGGGGCCCAGAGGGGAGAGCAGCTTCCAATTTACTGCATGCACACACACAAATGGGACCACGCCCACTGGCGCAGTAGTAGTGGCTGCGTTCACGCATGTGGCATGCACATGCACAAACAGCGGCTAGCACCCGTTCGTGCATGTGCAAATGGGGCATGCACCCCCCACTCTAGCGTTCCCATTCGTACCCATGTGCATGTGCAAACAGGGCTATGGGCACTAGCGCCAGTGGGGGGAATGCACGCCCATGCATGCGCGCCATGGCTAGCCATTTCTGTGGCCTGCTGGCCAAGAGCCCATGGCCCGGTACCAGGCCACATCCCACGACTCGGCGGAAAATCAGGCGGCTGCTTGGGAAGTAGCCGCTGCCGCGGCACTGGACCGAGTCGTGCCTTTGCGGCCTCTGACCCGGCGCAGATCTCAACTGGCTCCTTGGTTTACGGAGGAGCTGAGAGAGATGAAACGCC